CATTTATCCTTATGCCTCTGCTGATGGACTCCATGTAGGAATTGCCCTGTCCTGGTGGTGCCCCAAAAGATGATACCCGGTGGGTTTGGCTGCTGTCTGATCTCCCCTCCCTGGCTGCTTTCTCCTCATGCTTTTGCTGCTGACACCATTATTTCCCCTGGAGCTGGAGGAGAAGTGCACATAGCATCTCAGCACCTTGTGTCCTTGACAGCCAACTGTCAGCCTCCCCACAAAGCTGTCTAGACGCAGTGACGTGCTGTCAGCTTACAGAGTTAACAGAATGATAGGGGAGAATATTTTCCTCACGAATCCTCTTTCAGTCATCATCTTTACAATTTACAATTTCAGACAGATAAGACCATTGCCAAGAAAGAATCCGGACATTTTCTCCCATCTCCTGACTTTTTGCCTTCCCTTGAGCACAGCAACTGGTTTGACTCTGCTCCATTACATGGCTTCATAATGGCCTCAGCTGGAAATGGTGGTGGGGATATTGGGTAAAAAGGCAGTAGCTGAAGAGTCTTTTGTATTCAGAAAAGGGTATGTGGAGCATGTTTTTGGTCCGTAATGTTCAAAAGAGATATAAATGTGCAGAATTTGCAAGCTAAAAGTGCCTTGTCTTTTGAGAGGTGCCAAACACCACCCTCTTATCCCTACAGACAGATAGGGATAGTGGAGATACCAGCTGCTATGGAATGACAAAAATCTCAAGACTTTCTTTTTCAAAACAAAGTGGAAACATGAAAATGTTCTTGCTAATGGTCCCTGGCCTGACCTACAACCCAAACTGTACCCAAGGCTTTGCTGGGAGTGTGCAGCTGGAGCGGGGCTGAGCCTTGGCCTGGGGTCGTGGCAATAGAAGAGCACAAATGGGTTTGCTGTGTACCTTCCTATCTGCATCTCCTGGCCCTGTAGGACTGCAGAGGGTCTTTCACATTTGCTTCTGCTTATGGTTTTGCTGCCATTTGCACTGACAGTAGCAAACTGTATCTGCTGGTTCTGTCCCTTCGTGTCCTCTATGCGAGATGGAGGAGATGGTGTGCAATTGTAGGCTGGGGATTGCCCTCTTCACAAAGAGTCAGTAATTGTTAAATAAATGATCTGCCGTAGTGTCCTCATGGTAATAACGCTAATTCTAGTGACTGGGTTTAGAAATGGGATTAGGCAGGATTATACCTCATCTAATGCCTGAGTGCTTGTCTGTTCTCCTTGGCTCCCAGGATGAGCTCTGGCCATTTCACACACACACAAAAGATGTCCCAACACTAACCCTACCCCTATCCCTACCCCTATCCCTACTCCTACCTCTATCCCTACCCCTATCCTTATCCTTAACCCATTGGCTGAGAGCTGGTAACAGTTCAACAGCTGCCCTAGCACTGTCCCCTCTTCTGCTACCCAAGGCATCCCGAACTACTTGCTCCGTGTCTCCATGTGATATTCAGTTGCTGAGATGTGACAATGAATGTGACATCCCACTGCCCCAGAGTAGTGTGTGGGTTGGACATCAGTGAGAAAAATTGGATGTCACAGTTCTTTTCCCTTGACCATGCAAATGATACTGATACTAAAGTAATCAATTAATTCTCCTCCACCAGGACTCACTTTGCATGGAAATAACTCAAACAATTCATCTCTTCACCTAATGATGATGAGGAGAGACAGGCAGCATGTCAAGGAGCTCCTCAAATACCAGTGCCATTCACCACCAGTGGAATAGAATCACAGAATCTTGTGGGCTGGCAGGTCTGTTCAAGGATCATCTGCTCCAACTCCTGCAATGAACAGGGGCACTTATATCTCAGTCAGCGTACTTAGAACAAAGGTCTGGAGTCCTTCTTGCAAAAAAAATCTTTAGAAGATATTTTTTAGTTGGTTTCATGTTGTTAGTGTCTTCTATTTCAATAAAATTAATTATTATTTGCTTTGAAGTTTGTAATTATCAACCCTGAGGAGTCAGTGCTAGTGTGCCTGCGGCACTTGCTGATAGGAGAACAGTGAAGAGAGAAGAAAAGAGAAAATGTTTTGCTCAATTATATCCTGAAGATGAGCATAGATGCAAATCAAAACACAATAATGGAGGAATACCCAAGGATTTAGCAGTTCTGAATTAGAAAGAGGATTTCAGCCGTGTACTTCAAATCTCTAATCTTGAGCAAGCAATAATCTAAATCCACCTAATAACAATGAATGAAATTAGGCTTCAGTTAAGTAATTACTCCCTTTTTTTCTCTGTCATTCAGAACAAGTCCATCTTTCATTAACTTCCATTGGAGCGTTATGTTAAATCACAATGATATTAACTACTGAATTTTAAAAATTCGGTTGATCAACATTTGTGTCTTTTTCCAGCTTTCAGTGCTGAGTGAGCAGAGGGAGTTGGGAAGGGAGAGAAACAGATCACAGAATCACAGAATCATAGAATGGCCCAGGTTGGAAGGGACCTCAAGGATCATGAATCTCCCCTGCCACATGCAGGGCCACCAACCTCTACATTTCACAGCTACCCAGGGTCCCATCCAACCTGGCCCTGAACACCTCCAGGGATGGACGGGGCATCCACAGCCTCTCTGGGCAGCTGTTCCAGCACCTCACCACTCTCACAGCAAACAACTTCCCCCTGACATCCAACTGAAATCTCCTCTCCCGCAGCTTCAAACCATTTATTTTCCCTTGTCCTGCAGTTATCCACCCTTTCACAGAGTTGATTCCCCTCCTGTCTGTAGGCTCCCTGTAGGTACTGAAAGGCTGCAATGAGGTCACCCTGCAGCCTTCTTTTCTCCAGGCTGAACAAGCCCAGCTCCCTCAGCCTGTCTTTGTAGTGGAGGTGCTGCAGCCCCCTGATCATCTTTGTGGCTCTCCTCTGGACCCTCTCCAACAGCTCCCTGTCTTTCTTGTTCTGGGGGCTCCAGACCTGGACACAGCACTGCAGGTGGGGCCTCACAAGAGCAGGGTAGAGGGGGACAATCACCTCCCTGTCCCTGCTGGCCACCCCTCTTCTGATGGAGCCCAGGATCCCATTTGCTTTCTGAGCTGCAGAGCACACTGCTGGCTCATGTTAAGCTTTTCATCTATCAAGACCCCAGATCCTTCTCTGCAGGGCTGCTTTCAAGGACAGCTCTTTGTAGTCTGTATGGATGCCTGGGATTCCTCTGGCCCAGGTGCAAAACCTTGCACTGTGCTGTATTGAACCTTATCAGGTTCACCCAGGCCACCTTGCTAGCCTGTTAAGGTCCCTCTGAATGGCATCCCTTCCTCCCACCGTGTCGACTGCACCACTCAGCTTGCTGTTGTCAGCAAACTTACTGAGGGTGCACTCGATTCCCCCATCGATGTCATTGATAAAGATGTTACAGAGCACTGGTCCCAAGACAGACCCCGGGGGGATGCTGCTCATTACCGGCCTTCACCTGGACATGGAGCCATTGATGACCACCCCTCTGTCTGCGGCCTTTCAACCAGTTTCTTATCCATCGAGTGGTCCACCCATCAAATCCACATCCCTCCAGTTTGGAGATAAGGATGTGGTGGGGGACCGTGTCAAAGGCCTTGCTCAAGTCCAGGTAAATGACATCAGTCGCCTTTCCCTTGTCCACCGATGCCGTCACTCCATCATAAAAGGCCACCAGATTGGTCAAGCATGACCTACCTCTGGTGAAGCCGTGCTGGCTGTGTCGGATCACACGCTCATTCCTCATGTGATCAAGCATGTCATACAGGACGATCTGTTCCGTGATCTTCCCAGGCACAGGGGTGAGACTCACCGACCTGTAGTTCCCTCAGCCCCCTTGCTCCCTTCCTTGTAAATGGGAGTGACGTGTCCCTTCCTCCAGTCATTTGGGACCTCACCTGACAGCCACGACTTTTCAAATATGATGGAGAGTGGCCCAGCAACCACCTCAGCCAGCTCCTTCAGAACCCTGGGATGCACGTCATCCGGCCCCATAGACTTGTACACATTCAGTCTCATGAGGTGGTCTCAGACTTGCTCTGCCCTCCCAGTGGGGGGTGATTTATCGCCCTGGTATCCATCTAGATTGAAGCTGTGCAAAGGAGCATTGAACAGCATCATGGTTGGGTTGGAAGGGACCTTAATCACAGAATCACAGAATGGCCCAGGTTGGAAGGGACCTCAAGGACCATGAATCTCCAACCCCCTGCCACTTGCGGGGCCACCAACCTCCACATTTCATACCAGCCCAGGCTGCCCAGGGCCCCATCCAACCTGGCCTTGAGCACC